GGGCTGTTGGGGTTGGTTCTGCGACGTCCTATAAAGGATACGCAACTAACATTTCATCAGTCAGTGGTGGCCTGACAAGATGTCATATTGGAGTTCCACTGTAATTCTGTAGCAGCTAATCTGGTTCCAGCTTTACCTGAATTTATACAGTTTTTGAACATAAGCAACAGCAGATGTCACATTAGCTAAACATTGCAAGTCTGTGACATTGGAATATACAGTTCACTTATCCCCTTGTGGGATGCAATTTTTCGTTATTTTAAAGCCCCACCCTGGCTCTTGCCAGGGGCCGCAATATAGCCAGGCCATAAATATGGTCTAATGGCTGAACGCCGTTTCTGGGAACTCTCCACGGGTGATCCTGATATTAATGGTGGCACTTTGTGTCGTCAGGGAGTTTGTCGCTTTTGTGATGTCCTAGCCAGGGGTAAAATGTACTACTACTACAACATCGGGATTGGAAGCCTCGCTGTGGCTTTTCTTGGGGGCCCTAAATATACCTGGGCCTTAAATGTAGACTAACGGCTGAACGGGGTGTCGGGTTCTCCACGGGTGATCTTCATCTGCATGGTGTCACTTTGTGTCAACGGGTGTTTATCGCTCTGTGTCGTGTGGGGTACAACTTACCTACATACCTACCTCGGGATTAACAAATATTGTCTCTACGTATGTTTTTGTTTAAGTTTATTTTTATTTTTATTTTATTTATTTCGGTTAGGAGAGACATGAAAAAAAAATGTCCATGTATAATATAGATGAGAAGGGGAAAAATGGAGTAAATGATGAATATAGGAAAACTGTAGGGTAGGAGAGACAGAGGAAGACAGAAGAAAATATGCTGGACAGTCTGGCATTATGCCAAGGAGGATGGTCTGTGTCAGAGTTGATTGAAAGTACACAAGACAGAAGGTTGTGCATGGACTTTAAGAAAAAGAAGAAATATAGATTTTCTATCCAAAGCAACAGCAGATGTCACATTAAGCTGCAAATTGTCAATCGGTGACATTGAGTTTAACAAATAAACTTCGAACCACATTTGCATTTTTTTATGTCTCTTCCACGAATATTTCACCCCTATTTTGCAGGTCCGCCAAGTTTAAAAAAAAAGATTAAAGAACATTGTTTTAGAATGCTTTTCTGTGAGTACTTTGTTAAGTTTCTAGAGCACGTTTATATGTTTCAAGGCGCTGGTTTTAGACCACTTACTGTGTTATAGATTGTTATGTTGTTCGTCCATCACACACGATCAGGACCGCCCCAGAGCATACGGGTTTGTTTTAGATTTAGAGGACTTTTCTAAACTTGGTTTAGTTTTGTATACGTTCTAGGGCTCTGATTTAAGTGCAGCGGTCGTCAACTTTTTTGCCCCCGCGGCCATCAGACTGAAGAAGACTGTCTTAGTGGATAACGATGGCCTTTTTTTATTTCAGCATTCTTGACTGTGGTTAGAACACTTGCTCTGATATTAAAAATAAAATTTTCGAGCACTTAATTTGTGGGTTTCGAGCAGTAGTTTGTGGTTTTAGAGTAGCACTTTTTGATTTGAGGACATTTGTACAATAAGTCTCGCAGACGACAGTACAGCAAATGACAATACATCAAACAACCAGACAGAAAATGTAAATAGTTTACAATAAGTTCAGCAGATAACAGCACAGCAAACAGCAATACCGCAAACAATAAAAAAGAACACAAAAGAAAAAAGAAATTGCACAGTAAGTTCAATGGACAACAGTACAGCAAACGACAATACAGCAGACTAAAGTATAATAGGTCCAGCAGACATCAGCACAGCAAATAACAATAAAGCAAACAACAATGCAGTAAACAAAACTGTTGTACAATCATTCCAGCATACAAATGCACAGCAAATAACAATAAAGCAAACAACAATGCAGTAAACAAAACTGTTGTACAATCATTCCAGCAGACTACTGCACAGCAAATAACAATAAAGCAAACAACAATGCAGTAAACAAAACTGTTGTGCAGTCATTCCAGCATACAACTGCACATAAAACAACAGTACAGCAAAACAACAGTAGGGGCAAATGTTGAATGTTGAATTAGGAATCGATATCACAGCACTCAGGACACCCCTGTAAGCGCTCTGTCTCTATCCACAGTAGCAAGCTAAGAGTTTAATACGGCAAACTAAAATGTTGTATATTAGGTCAAGCAGGAGACAGCACAGCGAAGAACAGCAATGCAGCGAACAAAACTATTGCACAATTATTTCACTTGACGAAAGCACAGTGAACTACAATACAGCAGACAACAATGCAGAAAACAAAACTATTGCACAAGTAGTCCAGCAGACAACAGTACACAAATACTTAGTAAACAATAGTACATACAGTCAACAACAATTTAGTGGTGGTTTTTTTAAACGTAAACAGCACTATAAGACAGTGAACAACCGCACCAATAAACATCAACAAAATTTAACAACATAGTGTTCTTCTTCTTCTCCTTCTGCTTCTTCTTTTTCTTCTTCTTCTTCTTCTTCTTTCTTCTTTTTCTTCTTCTTCTTCTTCTTCTTCTTTCTTCTTCTTCTTCTTCTTCTTCTTCTTCTTCTTCTTCTTCTTCTTCTTCTTCTTCTTCTTCTTCTTCTTCTTTTTCTTCTTCTTCTTCTTCTTCTTCTTCTTCTTCTTCTTTTTCTTTTTCTTCTCTTTCTTCTTTTTTCTCCTGCTAATTTTCTTTTTCTTCGCCTTCCTCTTCTTTCTTCTTCTTTGTCTTCTTTCTTCTCTTTCTTCTTCTTCTTCTTCTTCTTCTTCTTCTTCTTCTTCTTCTTTTTCTTCTTCTTCTTCTTCTTCTTCTTCTTCTTCTTCTTTTTCTTCGTCGTCGTCGTTTTGTTCTTCTTGTTGGTTTTTTTCTCCTTCTAATTTTTCTTCTTCTTCTTCTTTTCTTCTTCTGCTTCTTATTCTTTTTCTTTTTATTCTTTTTCTTCTAATAATAATAATAGTACTAATAATAACAGCACAGTAAATAGTAGCACAGTACATAGTAGCACAGTAAATAACAACACAGTAAGCAACATCCCAGTAAAAAGCACGACAGCCTTGTTAACACAAACGTATTAACTAACAGCTCTATGTAGTAAAGAATACAGTGGACATCATCACACATCAAACAACAACAAAGCAAAACTACACAATGTTAAACGTGTGCAGCAAACAGAGAACCGCTTCATTGCTATCAGTATTTTTTTTACTTCTGATTTGCGGTTCTTGAGAAGTATGTTGCGAATACCTTGGAGTGCCAGAATGGCTCAGTAAAAAAGTAAAAAAGTAAAGGTCCCTTTTCACACCTAATGCGCATCGGGTATATGGGAAGAGCGTCCCATATATTTACAGATCAATCGGCACTAGGTGAGTAATGTCAGCATTACCCTGGCCGTCTTTACTTCCCCAAAACAGCCTACTGGTACCCATTTTAGGCTAGGTCAACCGGCGACGACCCATACTATGATAAGAATCCATGCAGTCAGCAGTGGGTTTCGATCGCTGTACGTTGGATTACAAGTCGCAACGCCTAAGCCACGGACGCCGCTAATGACTTAGTGATTGCCTGGAAATGGCTAATGAAAGTAGAACATTATTTACAACAGTGAGAAGGAGACAAACACAGTTTTTTTGGTGATGTCATGAGAAAAAAAGCACTGGAAAATATCGTGACGACTGGAAAGATCACTGGTAGAAGAGGCAGAGGAAGACCAAGAGAAATTATGGTGGATGGCTTGAGACGTAGGCATGGAGGAATATCATGAGTGGAATTGATCCAGAACACCAAAGACCGAGATCTGTGGTGACGCCTTAACGCCTACGCCAGCTGGCAAGGCACATGCTGATGATGATGATATGTGGACAACATGAAATAGTACTGGGCTCAACCATGAAGGCTCCATCTGATGGGGCTTGCTGCTGACGTCACCGGGTCGGGCTAACGATGCGTTAACGTAGCGGTTCTCAAACTGGGTGCCGATTTACCTTGGGTGCGGTGAGCATATGCCAGGGGTGCCGCGGCAATAATCAAAAAAGTCGGCTAAAAAATTGTGAATTTTTTAAAGAAGGCACGTAGATCCTTACATGTTAAAACTTAAGTCACTGTCGAAAAAAGTGTATTTCTTTTTTGAGAACCGCTGCGTTAACGCATCGTTAGCCCGACCCGGTGACGTCACTAGTACGTCCCGTCAGCTGGAGCCGGTCGTGGCTCACCCAAGGGATAGTCATGTCGTGTCCATGACTGCGTAACCTCATTTCCATATACTGAGCTTCTCATTCGTCACGAAAAAGGTTAAAGGTTAAAGTCGAGACGATCGACTTCATTTATCCCATATAGCTCGGTCTCTCTCCGTACAACGGCTAGCCGTCTGCCGAAAGCGCCACGCAGATCACGAACTCCCTAGCTCCGGCGACGATCCCCAGGGACCTCCGTGAAAATTGCGCTCGGGAGCTGAAGGGCGCAGCCGTGGAGCGAACCCACGACCATCAGAGGCAAACGGCTTGACCACTTCGCCATAGAGAACCCTGTCATGAGCCACGCCTTTAGAAGTAGCAGGAGGCAGCCAGCACACCCGAGATTTCGAGTAGTTAGTTGCGTATCCTAACAGGACGTTGCAGAACCAACCCCAACAGCCCCTGGCTGTTGTGTGGTTTTTCTAGGCACATTTGCCCAGTAGTTTGCCATTGCTTTACTGGACGGTCGGCTTTCTTGATACCACTGTCGAAACCAACGCCAGGCGCATGACCCGCAGCTGGAATCGAACCCGGCATCCTGGCATTACGAAGCGTTCGCATGGACTTAACCACAGAGTCGACTTTCGAGTAGAACCTCAACAAAATAAAATACTTTGCTTCTTATGCATTCTTATGCACGCCAGTGATGCAGATTCTAACCCATAACCTTTGGGTCTGGCAGGTAAGTATAGCTTCTTCAATGAGCTATAACAAAATTATTTTTCAGTAACAAGGTTAATTACACACCAAAGCCGACAAGTGCTATAACAAATTACTTTTACAGTAACAATACTGGCGTATTTCTCTGTTCTTGTTAAGCACACACGCAGGGTCGTTGCCGTATTTGTTGATTCTGCTGATGGACTTGGAATTCAGCTGCATCACGTTGGAGGCTAGTACATGCTCTAACGTAATCTCAAACTCCCCATCACCGGGTTGTGTGAAGAATGTCAGCTGGTAAATTATTTTATCCACCTTAGTAAACCTATCCGACATCACAGGACGCAGCCCTCGGTCGTCTTTCGTTCGTTTAAATTTCAGAACTTCATCACTGGCGAACATTTTCGACAACGTTGTTATGTTGCCTATGCTGAGCAGTGCACAATCAGATCTGTAAGGTTCTGTGAAATTGTTCAGCGCTTCCAATGCGGTTTGAAGAGCCCTACGAGCATTCGGGTCTGTTTCAGGAACGCTTTGCCATTTCAAACACGCGCACCAATGAGGCGCAACGTCTGCGTGCGCGCAAGTTCTGGATTTAGGAATCTCCTTGAAGAGGCTGATGCCTCGGTTTTTCACATCTCCTTTGCCTGCTCCGTCAAACCTGAGAAAGTCTTTGAATGTTTCATGAAGATCAAAAGGCGTGGTAAGTCTGTGAACGTTGGTTCGTATATTCTTTATCAAATGAGGATATTTAATTTCAAACCAGCGAGGGAATCGAAGACTAACGTAAGGCATTCTTTCTTCTATTTTACCAGAGAGTGTTCGTCGAACTGTATCAAAGCGTGCGCCGTGATCGGCCATGACAATCAGAAGTGTGTTATTCAAGAAGCCTCCATTTTCAAGGTTGTATAGCAAAGTCCTGAGATCATCGTCAGCCTGTAAAAAAAAAAAAAAATGTAAAAGAAAAATTTTGAAATTCTATTTTGCTAATTCGCAATGCCTGAATATTTCTTATCCAAGCAAAGCAATGTGTTTGGATGGTTAGTCGTTTAGTCAGACAAGTGCCCTTCTTCACAGTGAAGATCGCCTGTAATGGATCTTCGACACTATCTGTCTCTCGCCCTCGTTCAGCTGTTACCACCACCTCGCCCCCTTTCCAGGCTAGAGAAAACTGACAGAGATCAACTCATCAGCTATTCGGGATTTAGAGGAATCGACTGGTGGCCTCCAGTGAGCAGAAACTGTCACGATGCCAAGGCAGGGAAATTGGACACTCTCCGGGGACGTGGCGATATTATGAAATAAATATAATTCACGAGAACACAAGCTGTTAGCGTTGGCATCCCGTGGGTAATGCAGCTGCCTGTCGCTGGCATGTTTGAAGTTCGTGCCGTGGAGCGGGCAGACAACTGCTGACCTCAGTGAGCCACAGAGTTCAGTTTTTGATGGCATATGGGTCTTTTGCGTTGAGTTACAGAGATATAATGGCATTTTCTATCTCTGCCTACACTTATCGAAATAGAATGGCATATTCTATTTGCTTTCGGCTAGAGAAAGAATAGAGTGACATTTTCTATCTCGGCTTTCGGTTATATAGGTAGAGTGACATTATCTATCTCGGCTTTCAGTTATAGAGATGGAGTGAAAGTTTTTATCTCTGCTCTCAGTTATATAGAGTGATATTCTCTATCTCTGCTTTCAATTATATAGAGTGATATTCTTTATCTCTGCTTTCAGGTTTAGAGGTAGAGTGATATTCTCTATCTCTGCTTTCAATTATATAGATAGAGTGATATTCTCTATCTTTGCTTTCAATTATATAGATAGAGTGATATTCTCTATCTCTGCTTTCAGTTATAGAGATAGAGTGACGTTTTACATCTCTGCTTTCAGTTATAGAGATAGAGTGACGTTTTACATCTCTGCGTTCAGTTATAGAGATAGAGTGACGTTTTACATCTCTGCTTTCGGTTATAGAGATAGTAACGTTTTACATCTCTGCTTTCATTTATAGAAATGACGTTTTACATCTCTGCTTTCAGTTATAGAGTGATGTTTTACATCTCTGCTTTCAGTTATATAGATAGAGTGATATTTTCTATCTCTGCTTTCAGTTATATAGATAGAGTGATATTCTCTATCTCTGCTTTCAGTTACAGAGATAGAGTGACGTTTTACACCTCTGCTTTCACAACTGGTTGCATTTTGTAAGAATTTTTTTCTACTAGTGTCAGATCGATTATCCTTAGACGTCTGTTACGACATGCCTTGTTGCAGTGTTACCATTCATTGTCCCCATTAAAGGTCTCGGTAACCCCTAGGCAATAGCTCCTGGCCGATGCCCTAAAATACACCCTTGTCTCCCATCTTCTCGGCACGTAGTCAGGGAACCAAGGCGATCTGATATTGATTTCCCAGGAGGCCCAGCGACAAGCAGACCTATAGATCTGTTGGAGCTTTTAGCGGCGGTTGTGTGTGGAGGCGATGTGGATTAAACGTTAATAGATGGTAGCGTAAGTGGAATGCCACGCTAATAGATGGTAGCGTAAGTGGAATGCCACATTAATAGAAGGTATCGTAGTGGAATGCCCTAAGTCCACGTGTAAACATTTCCCCCTGACTTTTTCTTTCCTTCTCTCTCTATCTCTCTCTATCCCTCTCTCTCTCTCCTCCCTCTCTCTCTCTCTCTTCCTCTCTCTCCCTCTCTCTCTGTCTCCCTCTCTCTCTATCCCTCTCTCTCTCCCTCTCTCTTTGCCTCTCGCTCTTCCTCCCTCTCTCTCCCTCTTTCTATCTCCCTCTCTCTCCCCCTCTCTCTCCTTCTCTCTCACCCCTCTCTCTCACCGTGTATTTGTCTGCGTCAGCTTCAGCATGTGTGTGTGTATGCGATTGTGTATGTGTTTGTGTGTCTCCGAGTGTGTCTGTGTGCGTGTATCTGTGTGTGTTTGTGTCTGTTTGTGCATATGTGTCTATGTGTGTCCGCGTGTGTGAGTCTGCGTGAATGTGTGCCGGTTTGTGTGTGTGTCGCATGTGTGTGTCTGTGAGTGTGTGTGTCTGCGTGTGTCATTGGGTCTGTGCGCGTGTGTCTCTTGGTGTGTGTGAGTCTGCATTCGTTTCTATGGGTGTGTCTGTGGTTGCGTGTGTATATCTGTATGTTTGTATGTGTTTGGATTGTGTGGGTATGTAGGTTTGAATGTGGGTAAATGGGGGTGTGTTTACGTGTGTATGAAGGTATGTGGGTGTGTTTAAGTGAATGTGTGTCTGCGTGCGCTAGTGTGTGCGTGCATTTTACCACCCATGCTTTCGTGTTTTTTTTTTTTTAATATTTATAATGTGCATATTATCATATGAATATAACATGTTTATTGATAAAATACATCTGCAGTGTGAAAGACGGCTGTTTGGAAGGGCCGAATGTAAGACGGCCTGCGTGCCCAATTTGTGACCATTTTGAAAATAAAGTTCGTTTGTTCATTCGTTCACACACACACCTTACAATGTGTGTTTGTGTGTGTGTGTGTGTGTGTGTGTGTGTGTGTGTGTGTGCCTGCGTGTGCATGCATATGTAACGAAAAAAACTAAGATTAGAAACTCTTACTTCTTCAAGTGTTACTCAGACGGAACAAAAATAAATACTGTCGATATTTATCTGCGTAACTTTGCATTTGCTAATGATAAGTATTGAAAGTGTAGAGCACCCCCCCCTCTCTCTCTCTCTCTCTCTCTCTCTCTCTCTCTCTCTCTCTCTCTCTCTCTCTCTCGCTTGCTTTTTCTGGCAATCCAGCGAATAACGGCCACATATTATGGCGGCCAAAAACAGGTCCTCAGTCACATGTAAATGCAGACTTCCGGGGACTATACAGCCACCGCCGAGAGTATCAAAACTAGATGGCTGGGACTCGCCAGCAAAGCTGCAGGAGATGCGGAAGCTGCTGCTTGTGAGTCCCAGCCATCTAGTGTAGACGCGGGGGATACTCGTGGTGGTATAGTCGCCGAAAGTCTGCAATTTAAGTCGCCGGAAGTCCGCAATTTACATGTGACTGAGGCCCTGTCAGGGTGTGTTTGTGGCCTCCATAATATGCAGATCTTATTCGGAGGATAGCTTTTCTCTCTCTCTCTCTCTCTCTCTCTCTCTCTCTCTCTCTCTCTCTCTCTCTCTCTCTTCCCCCTACATCTCTCTCTCTCTCTCTCTCTCTCTCTCTCTCTCTCTCTCTATATATATATATATATATATATATATATATATATATGCGTGTGTGTGTGCACGCCCGTGTTTGTATTAGCGCACCTGTGTGTTTGGAAATAGTAAGAAATTGTTCTCTATAATGTAGAAGTTTTCCGATAATTAATAAACTAACT